TGGTGGTGATGGTGGTGATGATGGTGGTGATGCTGATGATGGTAGTAGTGGTGGTGATGGAGGTGATGGTAGAGATGGTACTGGTGATGGTGATGATGGTGGTGATGGTGGTGATTATGGTGGTGGTGGTGATGGTGGTGATTATGGTTGTGATGGTGATGATTATGGTGGTGATGGTGGTGGTGATGATGGTGGTGATGATGGTGGTGATGGTGGTGATGGTAGTAGTAGTGATGATGGGGGTGATAGTAGAGATGGTAGTGGTGACGGTGGTGATGGTGATGTGGTGATGGTGGTGATGGTGATGGTGGTGGTGGTGGTGGTGGTGATGGTGATGGTGGTGATGGTGGTGGTGGTGGTGGTGATGGTGGTGATGCTGATGATGGTAGTAGTGGTGGTGATGGAGGTAATGGTAGAGATGGTACTGGTGATGGTGATGATGGTGATGATGGTGGTGATGGTGGTGATTATGGTGGTGGTGGTGGTGATGGTGATGATGGTGGTGATGGTGGTGATGGTGGTGGTGATGGTGATCACAGTAACACTGACTATTAAGGTGACAGCTTATGGCTATTGAACTCTTTCTATGTTGTAGGAGCTATGCTAAGTTATTTACAGAAATCCTCCCATTTCATTTTCACACAGTTGATAACAGGGACCGATGTCTTCACCCATTCAAAAATGAGCAAACTGAGGCGAAGGTTGACCATCTCTTTTATAGAAGTTTTAATAAATGGGACAAGTACAGATTTGGTTCAAAGAGACACTAAATTACTCCTTCCTAAAGAGTTCTATAAATCTCAAGGGTCTAATTAGTCAACTTTGATAGACATCTTACAAAATTAAATGAAGCAAGAGTTTTGCCTAATTGACCGCCTTCCAGAATAAGGCCTCTGGAGAAAGCCATTGCCCTGTGCTACCCAGGGAGCTCACAAGGCCCTCAACACAATGCTGCAGTGTCCTCCTCTGTACAATGGGAAGAGAAATATATCTGACCTCAGGAGGTTCTTGTGAAGACTAAGGGACTTGTGCAATGTACCAGCTGTGGTGATTGACATGTGCTCCTCCCTAAATGGCCTCTCTGTTGACCATAGATGCCATGAGACTGTCAACCACAGTGGACAGGGCTGGAGTTAGGACTCACTTGACCGACAGCCAGCATATTTAAAATCTTCCTGTCAAATGAAATACGTCCTGACCCCAACCCCTCATCCATATGTGTATTCATGTGCTTAACCCTTCATTCATCAATTCCCTGTTCTGTTTGGGGTTCTGGGGTGCTTACTGCTGGGGCCGAGACTCCTGTCTGCTGAACAAGTCACCCTGAGCAGAGGCGTCAGGCATCCCTGCAGTCGATGGAGCAACTGGACCCCAATCCTTAGTGTCCCCCAAGGTCCACGCTCCTTGTCCATATCTCCTGCCATAAGACTCTACGTCCAATCTCTGGACTTTAGGTGTGGCCACTGGACTTGCTTTGGAAAGGAAGAGATTGGCAGGTGTGAATGTGACAGCGCAGAGAGTTGAAATCTGCAGGTGACATTCAGCATTCCTTCTGAGCCTCCAACATGGCCAAAAAAAGAGTTTCCGCAGGTATCTACCACCGGGTCAGCGTGTGACCCAGAATAAACACGCATGGGGCAGAGGTCACACAGCGGACCCACAGGCTAGGGGCAGAGCCTAGAGCTGCCCCACCCAGCCCAGCCCAAGGCAAGAATCCTCCACTTGACCTGCATCCCCAGGGCCACACACAGGCTTCTCAGAGCCGTAGTTATCCATGAGAACAGGACCAAGGACTGGGGAAGGTAAGGAGGCCCTCCAGGGATCCCGAGGATCAGGGACTGTTGTGCTTGAGGGTAAAACAGACCCATTTAGAATGCTGAGGGCAGGGGAGAACAGGGTTGAACTCTGGGAAGAGAGAGGGGACGAAAAGCCACGAGGAACCCCGCCCATTCAGACCACGCCCACCCGTGGCCTAGCCTCTGTCCATTCAATGTCACGATGACTGTAGCGGTTGGTAGGTCTCCTCTCAACTTCAGGCAGCACAGCACATTCTGTAATCAAGTAGAGCCGCCACCTGTCCTTGAAGGGGGCTCCGGCCCTCTGCCCTGAGCCTTCGCAGCCCCCTGTTCCTGGGCACATTTCTGGTGCTGACCCTCTCCTGTTGACTTTACTTTTCCTAACTTGGTGTTAGCAATTCAGGAAGAAATCACGGATCCCGTGGCAGGACTCCAAGGCCATGCCTGGCCCATGCGGTGAGATCACCAGGGGGGTGAGCAGGGAGAGCTTCTGCATCAGCCACCCCCAGGGCCACGTGTCATAACGCCCTGCCTCCTGTCGCCTGCAGCCTGGGAGGGCGGAGCTGCCGCTGCTTTTGCGTGTTAGGCAGTGAAGGGACCAAGCGTAGAGAGAGCCCCCGGGACCAGGCTTTCTCAGGAGCTTGCCTCTTCTCATTCCTCCACGGGACAATGCGCAGAGAGCCACATGTTAGTTCACCACGAATCACCCTTGGTCACAAGTGCTGGGTTCTGTAGAGTCTCTTACCCAAACATCACGGGAACCCTTCCTCTGGAATTTGGAAATTGGGACGGAGGCAGCTCGGTTCTGTGTCTGAGAGCAGCATCCAGTCCCAGCTCTGCTAACACGTGAGGTCACAGGATTCTGTTTTGAAGTGGACATGAGGGGCTGGGCGCTGTGTCGTGTTGGCTACCCCCTTGATCCTGGCCTCCGTCTGCTAGAGGTAAGTAGCAAACAATCATCTCCCAGTCCTGGCCGCTGAGAACACCTGCAGACGTTGCCAAGTGTCCCCCAGAGGACAAAAAGGACGCTCTGCACTGAGAAGCACCTCTCTAGGAAGAGGACCTGGGGGTTCCCACTGTCAAGGCCCCCGACGGTCCTGGTGCCGACGTTCCCTAAAGCTATTTGTTCAGCTCCTTGCTCATTCACGGAGAGATGCTTGTGCATCCTTAAAGTAATTTCCCTTTTTAAACACAGTTACCTAGAATTGGTCTCTGTTTTAAGCCAGCTGGGTGCACGCACGGTGTGAGAGGCACTTCACAGATACCCCTAGCGAGCAGACCCCTTGCCCCAAGACCCACTGCCATGTTGATCAGAAACCAGTGTCTCAGGTCCCCCGAGCGAGGGGTCCTGCAGGGTCTTACCATCACCCACAAACTGCAGCAGGGCCAGGTCGATCTGCCTCTTCCAGGGCGACCCCTTCTGGAGGGCAATGCCGTAGCCAGTGGTGGCAAAGATGTACCCACTCCCGATGGTCACCAGCTTGCAGCCCTCGTCTCTCCCGGCCTTGTAATTCAAGACCGCGGCGTCGTAGATGAAAGCGTCCAGCTTCCTGAAATGACAAGAGACCAGGCAGTCATGGGGTGGCCGGGACCCTCCCAGAGCCCGCTCCCGAGGCCCGAGCCAGCACCCCACAGGCAGGAGCTGATGACTCACGCTGTTCCATCCCCTCGTCATAAAAGGATCTATTTTTAATGAAGAGATAAAAGCCAGAACCTTCTCTCCCCAACTTACAAGAGGCAGCTAAATACCGAGGAGTCTGTGTACCCAGTGAGTAAACAGGCAGGTTGGCAGGTTTTCTAAGTGTTGGTCCTTTGCACCTCCCAACGGGGAGAACGGTGGCCTGTTGAGAAAGGTTGGCACCACAGCACCGTCAGCCACCGAGGACGGGAGACTCGGGCAGCTGCAAGGGATGGAGGCCAAAGAGGAATGGAGTCCTTTCCTCCCTAGATAAATATACTTACTTTTAAGGATGTCACAGAAACGAATTGCCACAGAGGAATTTTAAAACTCCAAATAATATAGAAAAGTACTAATAATACAATTAAAATTCTTCCATTAACAAAGTAAATAGGTTGCAAAATTCCAGAATTCATGATTTTATAACTCAAAGATGACCTCTGCTGACATAGTTTTGGGCTGTCTTCCAAGGTTTTTATGCACACACGCGCACACACACGCACACGCGCACACACACACGCACACGCACACCGCACAGGGGTTGGCACACTGTTAATGTAGAGACGACCTAATAGGCAGCTTGGACTCTGGCGGCCTCACTGTGTTAGCTGCAATGACTTGGTGAGGCTGTAATAGGGTGTCCCCTCCTTCCAGAAAAGAGTCAGGTGTTGGAGTCCTGATTCCCAGATGTGACCTTACGGAGACAAGATCACTCAGATGTAAGTAGTTAAGAGGAGGAGATACTGCAGTAGGAGGGACCCTGGTCCATGTGACAGGTGTCTCTACAAGAAAGAGAAAATCTGGCCATGACAGCTGCAGGAAGACTAGAGCTCTGTGGCCCGAGCCCAGGGGCCACCAGGGTCCGGGGGAAACTGGAGCAGCTCCTGCCCCCACACCCACCGAGGGGGTGCAGCCCCGCAACACCCCCATCTGGGACTCGCAGCCTCCTGAACTATGAGACGGCAAACTTCTGGTGTGAAAGCATCCGTTTGAGCTACTTTGTTAGGGCAGCCCCAGGAAAGGAAGACACAACCCCACGGCGGACAGGAGAACACACACCAGTGAACCCACTTGGTCCCAGTGTGCCACTGTTTACAAAGAGGTTGTCCATGGGCCGTAGTGGGCCGACCCTTGTTTTACAGCCCCTAAAATAAGATAATCCCATACAAACTATTCCCTAAATGGTTTTCTTTTCTCATGCCACACAGATAAGTGTATATCCAGGTCCACAAATAGCACTTGTTTTTTTATTCTTTTTAAACATATTTCTCTCTATGGCCCATATGCAATCAAGTGCTCAATGATCTTGACATTTGTTTCACTTTAAAGTTACCATAGAGCTCAGCATTGAGAGCATCCCTTTACTTCAAAAGTCCTGCTGACCCAGGCAGGGGCTGGCTCAGTGGCAGAGCGCTTGCCCAGCATGTGGGAGGCACTGGGTCGGAGCCTCAGCACCACAGATAAATAAATAAATAACGGCCCATCCACAGTTAAGAGATGTCTAAATAAAGCCTTGCCTTCCTCACGCCCAGCCTTCCCGACAGCAGACCTCACGCGACCTTGTCAGAGGCAGGGCGGCACCTCCACCTGGACCCCTGGGAGGGACCATGGGTTCAATGTCCATGTATGAAGGCTGCTCAGCAAGGCTGGGCGACACCCCAGAACACAGAGCCGGATGTCTCCACCCCAGAGTAGGCAGGAAAACGGAATCAGAGCTGCCCAGCCTCCGACATACTCTCCATCTCTTGACTTTTTCTCTTTAACAAGAAACCGTAAGACAGGGAAGCGAAGAAGGAGCAGAGGTCTGGGAAAGGGGGGGAGGCTGCGCTTTCAGGGACCCCCTGTGGGGAGGCCGGCAGCCTCCTTCTTCCTCTGCGCCTCTCTTGTCTTTGTAACCGTCACAGGTCGGGCAAAACCACAGGGAAGCCACCTTTCCAGACACCAGCCACAGGGAAACCGTGGACCGTGGGACGGAGAGCGGCTCAAGACAGCGTCAGTCTGAGCCGATGGCGGTCGGGCTGTGGCAGGAGCCTCCCGTGGTCAGTAGGAAGGGTCTGAGTCCCAGGCCAGGCTTGGGGGACGGCCTGGCTGGTTCCTCGTCCGCGAGATGAGGTGGCCCTGGGGGTCCTGCTGAGATACGTGTCCAGTGAAGGCGCTCTGTGATTCTGAAAGCCAAGAGTCACTTTTAGCGGCCATCAGTAGACACTCTGGGTAACACATGTGTCCTGAGGACCTCAGGTCAAGGGTGGTATCTGACCTGATGAGGCTAAAGTGCTTGTGACGTCAAGACCTCACACACCGCACTGCCATGGAGATGCCGAGAACTTGAAGAAGATGAAGACTTCCAAGTCCCAGCAAACCCTCTTGTCTCGAGTCCTCAAAAACTCAGCGTCAACACACACACGCACGCACCACACACCACACGCGCGTGTGCAGGGAACACTCAGACACGGAGGTCAGTGGTATTCGTGGGATGACCTCTCCCCGCCTTGCTGACTGCCCCACACGGGGAAGGCACAGCTGAGACCCGAAGACCCACCTGGCAACCCTAGGGGGAGTCGGCTGAGCCATAGAGTCAGATGAGCAGAAAGAAAAAAAAATAGATTTTCTTCAGGAACAAAAATTTGCAAAAGCATGTCCCTGTCAACTCAGAGGCAGACAATGAACTGTAAAAGTCAAGTCGATTTTGACCCAGGCCACTGCACATCGGGTACCTGGGCTGACCTGGTGGACGTCCTGTCAGGCCTGTGGCCCCAGAGAGCCACCGAGGGGCCTGCGTTGTGGCCTGACCCCTGGGTCCTGGGGCCATGTCAGACCTAAGGTAGGTTCACCATGAGACTGCAGGGTCCTGTGAGCTAGGTGTCACTTTTCACCCATGATTCTAGAGAGCTGGGGTCTAGACCCAGTGGCCTGAGATACTTGTATGTGTAAAACAGCCCTCTGACGGAGAAGGCCACTGTCCACAGGTACTTTCCAAAGGAGTGCACGTGTCCTCCTCCTGAGGCCTCAACCCACCCACTAGGCAGATAGAATCATTTTCCTAGTTGTCCTATGAGCAAAGTTCTCAGTCGGCTTGGAGTTCATTAGGGACATTTCCAAACTGCCCAACAAAGCCCTCCTGGACAGCACTGGCCCTTGGAGCCTGAGCCATTGATGGGAATGCTCGGCATCTCCACTCCCCAAAGTGGAAAACGAGCCTTTGAAATGTGGTGAGTGTTGCCGAGAAACTGAGTTTTTAATTTTGCTGAATTTCACTCATTTGGATTCCGACAGAAATGGCCAGGTACGGCCGGGGCCACAGCAGGCAGGGGCAGCAGGGGAGCAGGACTCTAGGTCCCCCTCCTTGTTCTTGACCCAAAAGGTTTACTTTTGATCTGTTTCCAGTTGGGAAAAAAAATTGTTCCTGTTGTTAAAAAGGCAAAATTGAAAATTGCTGACGCACTAGAAAGAGCGCTTTGTAAGGAGAGACTTTGGTCAAGGCAGCTGCTCGTCTGAGCCGGTTTTCTTTCTGCAAAACAGAGCTGACAATCTCTGCCCTCAGAGGGCTGTGGGCCCTCCAAGTGAGGTTATGTAAGTAAAGTGTGCGGGCCGCGGCGGGACACCGCCAGCGCTGGAAAGGCACACATATGTCCAATCGAATCGGAGTTCCTGGCAAAGGGCTCACAGATTCACGTATCTGATGTCATCGATCCAGTCCTGAACGCGTCACAGGCGTCACATCACTCTATTTATTCCCTCTAAGTGCACAGGGGGGTGCACTCTCCCACCGTCCGCTCTCCCGATTGTCTGATGGGGAAACCGAGGCACTCAGCATTAAGAGGACTCAACAGCCTCGAAGTATTAAAAGCAGAATTTGGACTTAGCAGGTGCCAAAAGCCACAAAGGTGACCACTCTGACCAGGTCATGTCACCCACAAGACTTGTGGAATAGATGGAGGCAGCTGGGTGGACTGCGCAGGAAGTTCAGATGCAGATGGCAGCTGTCCATCAAGCCAAACTTACGACAGAAGGGGCAGAGCGAGACCGAAGCCGGCGGAGTCGAGGAGTCGCCGGTGGCTCAGCTTCTCTTTCCCAACAGACGCACAGCCCTGAGGGTCTGGCGCTACCTTCGCAGTGCCCCTCTGTCCCCAGCCCACCCCACCCCAGGCTCCAGGGGACACTGGGCATGAGTGCTGTAGTTTCTTGTTGAAGGCAGAGGGCGGGGCGGGGGTGGGGGGAGGCCACCCGAAACTGAAGCCCAATGTGGACCTAAAGCTGTTGGGGACTTGAGCCGTGGCTGGCAGAGACAGAGTGACATAGGGGCGGCAGCGGGGTAACTGCCGGCGGGGCTAAGAGGAACACAGACCAAAGGCCAGCACCGGAGGGACCGGGCCTTCAGAACCGAGCAGCCTGGGAAGGCGGGGGAGCTCGCGGGTGAGGGAGCCCAGTTTCCGTTCTCTGACCGACGTGTCCTGCTTTCTTTAGGGGGGGAGTAAGTCATCTTCTTCTTGCCTTCCCAGGTAAGCGTCCCTCCCACTGGGCAGGAGGAGGCTCAAGGGTCAGGGTCTGCCTGGGATGGGACAGGGCTCCTGCCTGACACCCTGCAGTCAGCACCGCGTCTCTACCGCCACCCCGAGGGCCGACCCTCTTACCCAACCTCAGTGACACAGAAAACAACCTCTACTTCCCAACTCAAGGGAAGGGGGCATCACTGGAGCCAGAGGAATGCCCAGCTGCGAGACACCCAGGTCCCCAGCAGACAGCACACAGGCTGCGTGGGTGCCGTCACCCTCTGTCACCAGCGGTCCTCAAGGAAGCCCCGTGATTAGAAGTGACGGTAATTCAGAGTGAGAGGGGGAAATGAGACCTCGTGTCTGTAAATTTGCAAAGAAG